TTGGGGGTGGGGTGGGGGGTCTTGTTATTCATTTGCCAGCTTGACAGGACATTGGCTGCATACTTGCGGTGCTGAAGTAATCTGGTGACCATCTATTAAAAGCACTCAGCTCTTCTTCATTTCGTTCTTGGGCCCCATGGGAACCCTGCAATAACTTTCAAGCCATTCGGCTGGACAGAGAATGCAGTTTTTTTGTCAAGGTCATTCCACGGACAAACCATTCAAGTCGGCTGGTTCTCTGGTTTTGCTGTCAGGCCAGATGACAACAAAAATGAAATAACTGCTGCCTATGAGGACACAAAAGCAGCATCTGTACCATCCGTGATTTTCTGACCTTTCATTAGGAGCAGAGTGACAGTGAGGGAAGACAGCTGGCCAGAGGAGAAAATGAGCACCCATAAAGATCATGAATAGTCTTTTGTGTCAGGCCTTGACAAGCCCTTTATGTGATCCATTTTTGAGGAGAGTACAATTCAGTTATGATTAAAAAATAACCAATTTAGGTGTGGAGAAGAAGTTCCCCAGAGGCTTTTTTGAGCAGTTAAGATCTCGAAGGATCTTGCGATGGAATCCGTACTTGAAAACAAAGAGTATGTTTTCCATGAGGCGTTCTTTTTAATCACTTGCACATGAGGGAAGGAACAACAAAAGTTGGAACAGCAGAGACAAAAAAGAAAGAGGGGGAGGGAAACGAGGATGAGAGCAGAAGGCGACTTGGGGCCAAAGACTTTGATGCCCTTGTTGGCTTTGAAGCAGTTGGGAGGACGGTGAGGTCATCGTCAAGAACCAAACGCCACAGTATTTCCTTCACTTCCGAGTTGAATTTGTGACCAAGCTCACGTCTCAATTTCTCTATGGAATTCAAAGTAAATGCAAACAATGAACCTCCATACATCATGGGGGTTACGTTCCAGACCCCCTATTAAGTAAAATCTACAAAAAAGAAATATAATATATATAAATATAATAATCTCAATTCTCCTTAGACATGATTTTAGAGCATTTATGGTAATAATTGCCGGCCCGGTGGTCCAGTGGTTAGCGCGTCGACCTCACATTGCAGAGGTACCGGGTTCAATTCCAGCTCCGGCCTCCCTGTGTGGAGTTTGCATATTCTCCCCGGGCCTACGTGGGTTTTCTCCGGGTACTCCTGTTTCCTTTCGCATTCCAAAAACGTGCATGGCAGGCTGATTGAACACTCTCAATTGTCCCTAGGTGTGAGTGTGAGCGCGGATGGTTGTTCATCTCTGTGTGCCCTGCGATTGCCTGGCAACCGGTTCAGGGTGTCCCCCGCCTACTGCCCGAAGACGGCTGGGATAGACTCCAGTACCCCCCGCGACCCTTGTGAGGATAAGCGGATCGGAAAATGGATGGATGGATGGCAATGATTGTTAGTGGTCTTTAAATACACCAGAAGAATAATACAAACATCTTAAAAATATTTAATATGCACGTATTAAGAGAGCAATGGGTAAACTGTACAAACAGTTTACTGCTTCCTGTGTTTATATTGTAAACCAGGGGTCCCCAACCGCCGGTCCGCGGACCGGTACCGGTCCGCAGGGCATTTGGGACCTGGCCGCACAGAAAGAACTTGCCTGAATTCCATTTTATTTATTTCGGAATACGAAATATGTTTTATTTTGAAAAATTACCGGATTCTCCGTTACATCCGTTTGTGTCACGCTTGACACACGTCAAGCCACGCTTCTCCGTCACGTGACCGATTACGCTAAAAACAAAACGCCAGAGCTCGCAAAATGAGTAATAAAACTGCTGGAGATCGCAAATGACGGCGGCCTTAAAAGTACGTTCGAGACAACTGGATGAAAGTTATGGCTGAATATTCTGAGATCGCCACAGTAGCACTGTTGCTATTTCCGACATGCTACCTGTGTGAGGCGGGGCTTTTCTGCAGCAATGGCGACTAAAACAAAATTACGAAGTAGACTTGACGTAAAACACACACTTGAGGTGTCATTGTTTCCTATTACCCCGAGATGGGACCGTCTGGTTGCAGAAAATCAAGCTCGGGGCTGTGGTGAGTCGTCATTTTCATGCACTTTGAATTTGCATTGTATCGTATTTTGTAGGCATTAAACATTACCATAGCGATCAGTGTTGCGGCCAGATTAGACGCTCCTTGTGTTTATTATTATATTTCGAAAACACCATAGTTTTCATGCAGCTCATACCATATTATTTTGTTGTATTATTTCCGCCACACCTTAAATGCCGGTCCCAAAAACTATTGTCTGACATAAACCGGTCCGTGGGGCAAAAAAGGTTGGGAACCCCTGTTGTAAACCTTAGTAAACCCATCACAAACCGACAGTTTTACTCAATTGCTGGTTGCTCCTGCGAACATGGCTGTTAATGTTTGCCGAGTGCTGACTGAGTAGTGATGCGAAACTTAGCTGTCGATTGTTGTGTGAAGTAACGGACATACCTGAACGAGTGTCCTTAAATTTCAGCTGGATGTCTTGGATGTTGACAGGAGCTTCACTTTCGTACTGCACAGGAAAAATCGGAACATAGAAGTGTTTTGAAAGGACTCAATAAGCACTGTAGCATGAATTTGTTGAAGAGCTTATCGCACTGTGGCGAGTGTTGGTGAAAGTAGGATTTGCGGTCACATCAGGGGTCATTCAAGGTCTCAAAACATTCACCAGAGGTTTGCCAACAGTTTGAATGTTTTTTCTTGTCAGTTTGACTGTTTTCTCTTGTTGACAAGAAACAAGAAAAGTACAGGCAATCGTTTGGCGAACGTTTGTGACCTGAAAGAAACCCCCTCAAACTCTGGCTAACCCTGACGAGAACGCAACATTCACAACCTTTGCAAACACTCGTAAATTTTCACCCCCTCAGTGGCCCGTGGAGATTAACAAGATGTCGGCTGTTGTTTGTTGTTAATGTTGACGTTCGTTAAATCCGCATTTTGTGTGTGTGTGTGTGTGTGTGTGTGTGTGTGTGTGTGTGTGTATATATATGTATATATATATATATATATATATATATATATATATATATATATATATGCAGCTGTGGTACCCACCAGTGACATGTTCACCTTGAGGAACACCAGCTTCTGGAAGTTGGCGCTCAACTGGGCGGGCCTCTTTGGCCAGCTGTGGGGAATATCCTCCCCACAGCAGCAGACCTTGGGAGGGCAGTGTTGCATTCGATGAACAATTCTACTCACACCTCCCTGTGCTGCTTGGGCAAGAGTGTCCTAGAGAAGGCTTCCCACTGGGGCTTGCAGTCCTGGATGCTGGCCCTCTGCATTTCAGAAGCGGACAGCTTGCAGCAGGCAATCTTTCATAATGAAAGCCAGCAGGGTAATGATATGACATGATGCAGTCATGCAGAAATTTCTGTCGTGTGAAACAGGCTTTAACGCACCAACGTGTGCCGCAAAACATTTGCTGAAGGTTGTCGAGTTATTGGCTGTGCGGGTGACGGACAAAATTCGCTTTTGTCTGTGCTTATTTTGTCAGTGTTTTCAAGTTTCTGTGAGTCGTCAGGCTGCCAGCGATACGGGAATCCATCAGTGACAGACTAGCGTACCTTCCGTCCGTCCTGACGGACTGCCCACCACTGATATTTGGTAACATTGAAGCAATTTCGTTAAATTTACAAAATATGAGTGACAATCGTTCAAAATAACACTTCTCCAAAGCTTGTACATGGTGTGATAACTTGGCTCGTACTGCAGCAGATGTAAACATCCTGGAAAATAATTTCAAGAAAAGAGTGGCACTCCTGGCATTAGACAGAGTGCTATACTGTACTGACCTATTGTCTACAATTTTTTTCTACCTATGTGTAACTGTAATTTGTAGTTTGAATGGTATTTGTCCTTCGGATGGTTGTTTTTTTATTGTATCTTATCATTCATCCATTTAATATATTTTTTCTTTCCTTTGAATTGGTAATATATATATATATATATATATCAGTCTTGACTGATATGAAATACATCGTGATAAATATTTCAGCTGTATCACACAGCCCTATTTTCCAACTTCACAGTGTCATGCTTCACAGTTAACAGATAAACTTTTTTTTTTTTTTGCACTTCACAAAGAGTAAAACTCGGAGTTGTCAGTTTTATTGCCAGTATTATTTATTTGATTGAATAAAGAGTAGAATAATTAAACATAATCAGAAAAATAGAAAGATAGAAAAATAAACAAACTCTTTTGGGGTTGTGTCTAGCAACCAAAAAAAAGTTTTGCTGTCATTTCAGTTCAGGTCATTTTTCGTAAATTTTTCTAGTTGACAAACAATATGAAAGAGGATGTAGATTCTAGGTTTTGTTCAATTCCACCAGCCAGCCTTGCTCCCTCTACTCCCGCCTGAAAAGTCATAATATTGGAGCCACAAAGACATCTGTGCACGGAAGCGTCGGCATCTAATCACAGGCAAGGATCATGCAAAGCAAAACAAGATCCATCTTGCTGCCTGTTTTGAACCCTGCCTGTCTACCTGATTGTCTCTCTGTCTAATCTTCACCCACTGTCCTTTTTCAAGAGCCCAAATTTCAATCGATGTCACGTGAAATGTTGTCAAGCAAGGGCAAAGCCACATGATGTTTCATTTATCTGAGGTAGCCAGAAAAATCAATGTGTCCAAAAGAGGATGTGTGTGTCGTACACGGCACACTTTCAATAACACCTGATAATGTTTGATCATTTTACTCAATTGATGACCTTTAAAAAAAAAAAAAATTAAAAATCCTCCTTTTACGAGGTAGTAATCATCTCTCTGTGCCTGGAGACTTTCTCCATACTGTGGGTTTTCCATTCTTTCTCCATGTTGTGTCAATGCATCCTTATGAATCATGTCTGTCCCTTTGCCTTGCTTTGATACACAGGGTGAAGGTTTTCCTCTGCATTTCATCAGTCCTCCTGCACACAAACTATTTGGAAGTCCTCCAGTTATTGTCGGCGAGTTTCCACCGCAGTCACATGTACCTTTTATGGTTTTCACTGGATGGAGGTACTGTATTATAATTCGAGGTGGTGGACTGCCGCTGGCATTGGATCTGAAATAATGAATAGATACACTCTTGTATCTTCACCTTTCTGCAATTGAAACCTGAACTCTGTTAATACTGCATTGGTTTATCAGTTCTCACGTTGGGGACGCGCAGCTCTTTCAGCGACTCATCTCTCTCATCGATTTACATTTCACTTTGGCCAGCCGCATAGCCAGTCGCCTCGAGAAGTGGAGGAATGCTGATGCTTATTTTCTTAACCTGGAATGAGGAGAGCTTTCCCCATAGAGCATCGTTGTGATTGACAGGGAAGCATGCTGGAAAGGCTCAGAGTTTACCTCAAAGTGGCTGTTGGCAACCTAAGTTAAGTCTTTAATACAGAAACGGTGAAAAAAAAACAAACAGGAATAAAACGAGATGTTTTTACTGGAATTCATTGGACTTGTTAGCGCAACAATTCAGTCTGGATTAATCACACACCTTTTTTTCAAACGTGATTGCCTTCCACACCATTTCTGGAGGGCCTATATCTCAGTGCTGTCTGATTTTTCTCATCTAATTTTGACCTCAAGTCAGACGTTTTGCGGCTTAGTCTGCACTTTTGACTCAGAACTGACTAGGATTCCTGAATGAACTGAGGATGCGTCACCTTGTTTCCCAGAAGCGGCACAGCATGTTTTGGTGCTTCAAGGCAGCATTCACTTCCTGGCGGGTACATCGGTTCAGTTGAGGGAGCAAGGAGAATTTTTTTTTTTTAAAAATAAATTCACATTCATTGTAATCATAACATTGGCTGGCAACCAGTTCAGGATGTACGCCGCCTACTGCCCAAAGATAGCCGGGATAGGCTCCAGCACGCCCGCGACCCTCGTGAGAATAAGCGGATTAGAAAATGGATGGTTGGCTGGATGGATGTCATCGTAACCAGCAGCACAGGAGAGAATATTTTGTAACCCTGTCATTGGATTTTCGTGTAGATATGACTTGTTCATGCTTTTGAGCAAACGCAACCCACACCACTGCACTGATGGAAGAAAGAGCAGGCCCATCAAGGATAATATTGCTAATGTTTTCCACATTTGTGCCACCTCTGTTACTTAAATCAAGCTTCCTTAGCTCGTCATGCTCCGTTTCATCAATAGCGCCTCACCTTAAAATAACCAGTGATTTAAAGCAGTTTTCTAGCAATTTCCAGTCATTATCTGTCCTCCAGGCAAGGGGAGATTGAGCCTACCGAGTGATAAAGAACCGACAGGCATGAAGAATAGCTATGGAATGGTGCCCTGCTCATCTGTAAGTCACATGATGTCTAAATCCTCATCATTCTTTTGGCAGCCAGGAGCATTATCCCGGTGGTCTCTTATTCCATCTGTTTCGGGGCCCCTCCTTTTATTAGTGTGTCATCCTCAAGGAATCTGGAACGCTTGGTTCATGAGATCATTGAGCAAAAAGGTGTCTCAGGCTGCACCTGAGCTTTCGGAAATGTACTTGATCAGACCTTTTCCAAAAATGCACGCTCAGACAGTCACCTGTTTCAAACGTGATCTTCAAGTTGCACACTGTGGCAGTGTGGCAACCAAACACTCTTATGTCTTAACAATTCTTACTTGTCGCTCAGGAGAAGTCATAGACTGATACCTTTCTAGAATCTTCAGAGTTTGTGCATACATTTGTTCCAAATGCGTCTCAGTATCTGTACAGTAAAGGGTCAATATGCTTTCATAAAATTCCTCACTAGTCAACGTTGGGAACTGGAGCCAATGGCAGCCTCACCCCAGCAGGCCTTTTACATTACTCCTTGAGTATCATCCAGGTTTCCCGAACACGTCATACAATGTGATTTGAAGCCTTTAGCAACACCTATAGCTGTGTCTTTGAACACATTTTCGATTTCCACCAATAGTGTTTTCTCTGTGGTCGGTCATCACGAGCCGGCCAAAGCAACAGGTTGAGCTATAAAACCCTCATCACGAGGTCATTTTAACTAGTCACAAACCTAAAGACAGACAATTCTGGGAAAGGCACTGAATCAATCGTCACATCAATGTCACATCTGAATATAAAACTCACAAAGGAGAACAAAAAAAACGCGATCGGACGAGGTAATGCTTAGAAAGTTATCCAAACAATGTAATCTTGTCACACAAAAAAAACGCGATCGGACGAGGTAATGCTTAGAAAATTATCCAATGTAATCTTGTCACAACGACGGGTTCTTAAGTTAAATTAATGAGTAGTACTGATGTTTGCAAATTCAAATGTTCATGGGCTGTGCAACAAGAAGCCTTTCTTCTTCTTGGCGTTCCAAAGGGGCCTTGTCATGCACCCCGATTTCATTTTCCTCTGCTCTCAAACCTTCTGCTTCTTTCTCTCATTCATCTCTGTGCACTTATAAGGTTACGTGCCAAACACTCTGCTGGCTCGACGGCATTTTCTTTGGTCTGTCATGACCACAGGTGCCTGTTTTCATGCTTCTCTGCACTCCAGTTGAGCCTGGAAACAAACATCGGCACACAACACACACATGGGTACATGCACTCTTGCGTTTTGTGTTTCAATTTAGTCGCTGCTCATCTCTCTTTTAGATATTTTACAATAGCTTGGGTTTCACTACATCATTTCTTATTTCCTTTATTCTTCTCATGTTTGAAACACCGTCAAATGTCTAAAGGGAAGTGGGTAGAAAATGAGAATGAGGATTGTCTTGTCCAGGGAAACCATCTTGCGCTGTCGTTTTATCTTATTTTCTTCTATTTGGGAGGGACGAAGGTCAGCACAATCAGCATTTTGAGCAGCTACACAGAATGCAGTCGAGTGCATGAGCAGGCAACTTTGCTTATCTGTAAAATAACTGGTCAGCATTCAATAGTACAAACAGTTACTTCCATTTAGCACTGTTATATGTCAAATTCCCATGACAGTATGAAGAAAAAATGAGAAGAAATTCAATTTAGATGTGCAGCGGGATCGCTGATGGAATCGTGCAATGGTAGTTTACTTGCAATTTAGCTTCTCTGAGCTTTAGCTTCCGCCTCAATTAAGCTTTGTGTTGATCTAGATCAGGGGTCGGCAACCCAAAATGTTGAAAGAGCCATATTGGACCAAAACACCCCCCAAAACAAATATGTCTGGAGCCACAAAAAATTAAAAGCCTCAAAATGAAGGTAACACATGATGTAGCCTACTCTCAAAATGACTCAATTGGTTACAAATACACAATGATCATTCATGATTAAATGTTTTTTTTTCCCTGCAGTGCAACCTGTAGAGCATGATTAAATGTTTTTTTTTTCCCTGCAGTGCATCCTGTAGAGCAGCAGTGTCGAACCTTTTCTGACCGAAGATTTACTTTTTGATCACCCAACCTCCTGCGATCGACCCATTACCACGCGCGCATACGCACACACTTACACACGTGTGCCACAAAGAGCAACCTGAAATGAACGAGGCATTGGACGCACTTTTGCAGAGTGTTAACTATTATAGCTCACGTGTGCGCTTTAAAAATGTTTCTCTCTGCCCTAGAGATTCCTATTCTTTGCCAGTACCTTCGAAATGCGGTTTTTTTGTTTTTTTGTTTTTTTTTTTTACCACAGCCACCTGCCTGGCATCCTGCACTGCTAATTAGAAACGTGTGTTTGCAGGCTATGACGCATATCTTCGTTGACAGAAATGTTGCAATTTAATATTTATTCTACATATTTTTACTGCATTGGGAAATGTTTGTCATGTTTGCCCTCCTACAGAAACCATATTAAAACAAAAAATATATTTCCCTCCCCCATCTTTTTCCATTTTCAAACATTTTTGAAAAAGCTCCAGGGAGCCACTAGGGCGGCGCTACAGAGCCACATGCGCCTCCAGAGTCGCGGGTTGCCGACCCCCAATCTAGATAATCAATAAATAAGGCAATTACTTCCTTAGAATTTACTACATGTGATTAGACCTCGGGTGTAAGATTTTGTTGTCACTGTGATGAAGCAAAAGATAAGCATTCAAGTAGCCTTTGAACCATGATCAGCTGTTCCTCGTGTCCTTTTCCCTCGAATTAGCCATCTGGCTTTCCCTGAGACACCATGATAAACCTGGTTAACTGTTTCACATTTGCGCAGCCAAAATGAGCGCCAACTTCATCCTGTCCCTCTGGTTTAATCATAATTTATTCTCGGCACATGATTCAATTAGGTAGCCGAACCATCCGAGAGTGACCTGATCCAAAGTGACACGTGCCCACTGAAGGTTTCTGTTTGCAAGACCTTCATTAAGAAATAGTCTGACTGCAATTGCTTCCCTCCATTACTGCGTAACGTCAGAAAGCTAATCTCAAAATTGCTGCAATTCATCCCAGATATTCTGAAAAAGAAGTAACAGATGTGACCCAAATAGAGGGGAGATTAAGTGGAAAAAGAAAAGCAGACACATCATTTCATCAACTCTTTACAAGATGTACAGGAGTGAACATTATCGATATTGCCACAGGTTGCATATGCTGACATAATTGGATGTCCTTGTAATAAATTTATTGCCTTTAATTGGGGGAGAAAACACCACCTCGTACCATTCTCAACTCACCCTTTCCCATCTGCTCGTCCATTCTCTCAGTGACCTCTTTCCAGGCTCAGCTAGTTGTGTGAGTGAAGTTAGTCAACTGCAACGTCGCCTCTCCTCTGTCCTTTGTCCACCACACAACCCTCGGGCTCCTTAATCCCATCAAACATGAATACAAAAGGAAAGTTAGACCCACCTTGGGGCAACAGAGTCAAAGTAACCCACTGTTCTGTGTGGGCAGAGCCAGTAGGAACACTTTAAATTCTCATAGCACCACAATAACAAAAAAAAAAAAAAGCTTTAAGGTTATCAACTATGTAGTATCATTCTGTTACTGGTAAAGGTTGTGTATTGTAAGATCAACAGTCAACCCCCGCAAATCAGAACCATGTGCTAACTCACACAGCGCTCAGACTGGACCGTGAGCATTTGGAAGTTGGACAAAAGGAAACAGTCAGATGGCCTAGATCAGTGGTTCACAATCAGTGTGCCACGGCACATTGATCATTAGTTGTGAGAAATTTCACTGAAGTGATGCCCAAAATATTTTAATCACTACATATAATGGATATTTGATCACCGATCTGTGCCAGAGATGTAAGTGACAAGCAGAATCATTGAACGCTCTTCCATTAAGCAGGGCTGGCCTATCGGCGAGATTTTCTATGGTGCCCCCGCCCCACCTTCATTCACAAAATTGAATTTTTAAGATTGCCTTTAATTCATAATATAATGTCAGAAGATTGAACATTTAAAATGGACCGTTTTTTTTTTCTTTAAATTGAATGACTGTTTCATTACTGTCAAACAAATCATGCGAGTGACTTGCTGTTGCGACATCTACTTTTATTGGTCAAGAGCGTCTCTTTAACCTGCCACACATGTTTTGGAATGTGGGATTAAACCAGAGTACCCGGAGAAAACCAAATTTTAATCTATGTTAACTATTCCATGTTCAGGGTTACTTGTCAAATTATTATAAATATGCGCAGCCTCCCCACTTGAAAGAGATTCATTTATCCCCCAGAAGACTTTTTTCAGGATTTTTTTCAATGATCAAGCAATACCTTTGTTTTGTCTATTTTTTTTTAACATTCAGTAGTTTGACAGTTCATGAGGAAGTTAGATTTTTTTTTACATCAGTCACTGGCAATAAAGTGAAGGAAGTGCCTTTACATTTGAATTCGATCTTGGACATTGAGAAAAATGTACGCAAATGAGACAAAACCTTTATTGTAAATATGTGTACGTAGTAACAGAAACAAAGACTTTTTTTATTTAATTTCTATTGACAGCCTTCGATTTATTCTTGTTTCACTTATCTCCGCAACAAATGACTGTCAGGGTTTTTTTTTTCATTTTCACTTTAACATTGATGAATGTATTTCCCTGTTTTTATTGCTCTTTTTAATATGATGTATTCTTTTACAAAAATAAAAACGTGGAACTACTACCATCATAAATTTAGAAATATACAGCCACTGAGGTGGGCACTCAAGAGTTAATTCATTATAGGTGACGCACAGTGCATAAGCCGCCGCTATGCCTCAGAAAGATCGCTGATTTCAAATTAATTCACCTCACTCCTCTTCACTCATTTAATTGTTTATATCAATTTCAATTTACTATTTCCTTTCAACTTGAAATTAAGAATGATTAGTAATAATTAGTTTGAATATATTTATATTGAAGGTGAATTTTCAGCAGATTTTTAGCACACCCTAGAGTCGACAGCACCCTTAGCATCTGCATATCTTGCCCACTGGGCAAGCAAGCCCTGAGGTCGAAGGTACAATAATTAACCGATGTATCCGCTTTTGTGACATTTTTGTTCAGTGGTGTTCCTATAGATTTTTTTTTCTTGTCAAATATGTGTCCTCGTGCAAAAAAGTTTGGGAAACATTGGCAACTCTCAGTCACAATTCACAATTAAATACATGGATCTTTTCAAATTTTGACTTTGCTGTTGTGAAAAATATAACACAACCAATAAACCTGGTGTTGTGTGACCCTCCCACTTAAGAGCTATGAAATTAGTGACACTTGCAGAGATCTTTATATATATATAGACCAGTGGTTCTTAACCTGGGTTCGATTGAAACCCCAGGGGTTCGACGGACCCTCTGCCATGGAGGTTAAGACACACCTGACTCAAGATGTCAATTAGTTATGACGCCCGCTTGGCCATCGGTGGCTGCAAATGATCACATGACATTGCTTGTCCAATCAGTGCTCCGGGAAATTTAGTTTGCTCAGTCAACGTGTGAATGTCGTGATAGTACGTCATACAATTTAAAAAAAACTAAACTTATGCCATGTAATTTCATTTACTTTTATTTTTCATAAATTTTTTTAAATGTTTTGAATTTGTAAAAAAAAAATCATCCTTTTATTTTTCACTAATAAAGGGTTTGGTGAACATGCATATGAATTGGGTGGACTCAGTACCTCTAACAAAAATGTCATTTTATATATTTTTTTTTTTTTTTTTTTCACTTTATAGCGATTATAATGTTCGGGTTCGATTAGAGTTTGTATTATCGTGGTTGTCTCTTGCAGTAATATAGAATGGCAGTTTATCATTGTGAAAAATGAAGGATGCAATGGCTTATAGTTTTGTTTTTTCTTCCCCAGCGCTCATGTTGCACTTCAAAGAATTGTGCTGTTTGGGTCTGCATCTGGATTTTGGTGTCTCGAACAAAATCAGTCTTTTAATAATCAAGGCCCACCCGATTTATAGTATAGAAATTAGTAACGTTGTTGCTTGTCGAGAGGTTGCTGCCATGATTTGCTCACTAATATGTGTTGGCCTTCATGCTTCTCATTAACACAGCTCATTTCACAAGCACCTCCCTACAGTCTTTAGCATCCTGATGCAGCACTTGTGAAACAACACCTTATCACCCCATTAGCATGCCTCGTCTGGTTTGCTCCTGTTTGACTCTTGTCACAGCCTCTGACTCTGTGGATGCTCCCACAGAAGAAATACTGGTACGAAGAAGTCAGATGTTTTACTAAGTTGGTGTCTGTAACATTTGATTTAGTGTTTATGGAGAAGGGCGTTTATCTTTTTGTTCAGGGCACACGGTTGTATTTATCCATCAAATTGACCAGATTATACCCTCCGAAAGAACTGCTTTTATCATGCTTTTTTTTTTTCATGGGCCCTCCTTGAAGGTCCTCCAGAGGGTTTTTTTTCCTTCCCAATTGTCAGGAATCCCCTTATGTGGCCCATTTTCTGTGCCCCTCATCTGTAATGAAAAGCAGAGGGGGCTGCTCTGTCGTCGGATGGTAATAACGCGGCATTAAGGCCGCATGGTTCACTGATGGCATCTCTCTTACATATTGAAACTTTTGCTCAAAGTTCCGTCGGAGAAGTCAGGCACCAAGTTAAATTTCAAGAACATTGTTTTAAGTACTGTCTTTCTACTCAAATGCTTCTAAAATCTCACAAAGATTTTACAGTTGCTGCTTTTCGTTATCCAGAAAGTACAGTTGATACAACCTACTATATACGGTATCAGAGTTTTGTTGGTTTGGTGGTCGTGTGACATTTGGTTGTGGCAGAAAATATTATTTTCATTTCTCAAGAAAAAACATTAATCAAAGCTGGAAGAAAAAATCTGATCTGTCGTAAGGCACTTAAACGAAGTATAAATTTGTACAACTTGAACGACCATGATTTTCCTTAGGCATGGGAAAAAAAAATCCACGGAACTATCTAGATTAAAACATCTAGCTTGGGGGATAAAGCTCAGTGTGTGGAACTGGTTGTTTGTGTCTAGGGTAATGCATGCAACAAAAAAAAATACAACAGAGTGAAAATGTAATTTCCATTCAGGGATCATAGTTAGTGTATATTAAAAACGTCATTTTTTTAAAGAAATGAAAATATAACCTTTATGAATGGATGTTTGTATAATTTAAATAATGAGCTAAAAATGCTAATAGAAACCTCCAACTGTGCTTACAGGATCTGACTACGCCCAAGACCCCAGCGTGGTAGCAGCCACTTCATGGAACACTTCTACTGATGGTAAACAAACACACACGTTTTACATTTAAGCATCCAGTCTTTATCTACATCTCCAACCATACCGTAAATTCTAATCTATTGGCTGTTTACAGACACCGGATGCATTTAACACACGGCGTGTGTGTTTTCTGAGATTGCAGTCAATGAGGTGTTGACAAATGAATGGCAACCTGCAGCAGTTCAAACAAAAGGCACTGTTCCAGTCGAGCTGCGATAACTGACGGAACAAATTACACACTAACCTACTCAACACGTGGCCATAGACACAGGTGCATCCCTAATTTCAAATGACCCACTTTGCCTTTTGTTTTGGACTGAAGCTGCAAGTGGAGCCTCAAATGTATACCTCATCATGTGCTTTTTTTAATATATTTAGGTACCGTATTTTCACGACCATAAGACGCACATACGTGTGAGATTTTGTCCAAAATATACGGGCCGTCTAATAATGCGGGTCGCCTTGTGTATGCACCATGTTCCAAAATCTGTGAATGCTGTTGAGTGACTTTGATGACGGGCCCGCTTGACAGACTAATGTTGGGCCGTTGCTTATATCGAGGAAAGGCGGACGTAACTGAGGACAGCATGCGGACGTTAAAGTAGCAAGGGTGAGCGTGAACGAGGACACTCAAGGCATGGCCCAGCTATGTGTAAAAAGTGCCGGGATGGGCATTTTGCTAAACAACATCAGTTTGGCTAAGGACCTCCCAAAAATGGCACCTTCGAAGAGACGCGTTTACCAAGCACAGTTTAAACTCCAAGCTATCAGTTTCGTGGAGGACCATGGGAATCGAGTCTCCGCGAGAGAATTCAAGATCAACGAATCCATGGTGCTCGGTGCTTTCGTTTAATGAAACGGTGCCATCTATCCATCCGGGCAAGGACGACCGTGGTGCAGCCACACCTGGCAGATCACAAGGAAAAACTGGCCATCCTCCGCTCTTGCTGCAGTAAAAAGTGTCATGTTCTGCGATACATTAAATAAAGAGGCTTTCTTGGAGATTTTAATCCTTTATTCTGCCACTCTGACTGCCTCACTTGACTTCCATGACCAACTGTTCTTTCAACCAATCCTCACATTCCTACATACCCTCTTGGGCTACGGCAGTTGATGTGGGATAAGCATACTTTTCATTTTAAGATACAAACAAATAGATTGCCGACAGACACATCCCGCCCAACCACATCATCAACATGGATGAAGAGCCGCTCACTTTCGACATCCCGGTGAACCACACTGGAGAGAAGAAGGGGACTATCACGGTTACGATGCGAACAACGGGGCGCGTGAAGTCACAACTTACACAGCCGCTTGTTGATCAGCAGGAAGCAAAATAACAACACTGCTGTTTCACTGGGCCAACTTCTTCAGCTAGTCGTATCCGCAACACACAGCTGACTTTCTTATTTCCTAATGATGTTTACAAGTTGGTACATAGTGTGCCGTCACATAGAAACTTGATGGAAGGGTCATTTGAAATAATTGATTCTATTTCAACACAGCGGGACTAAGATCTAAAACATTTGGGGATGTTTTTTTAACAGTGCTGCTCAGCATTATCTGGTCAATCTGTTCTCAGCGTTGTCCTTTGGGACTCAGCGAGCCGACATCCGCCATATCACCCACGAAGATGCCCCAAATTGGAAGTCCCTCAGCATAATTGAATTTGACCTTATTTTGCTCTATCATTTGGTCTGGTTTGTTTAATTCCGCTCTTGCGGGGGCCAAATGAACCCCAACATCCGTCCCAGAACAGATGCTGCGTACAGGGTGAGATTTTGCTCAACACAGAGGCAACGTTGTAGTTTGAACACGTGGCTTGGGAGGTCAAGGCAACAAGGTTAAACATCAGGACGAGTTCAAACACAAAAATGATGAGAATCGGTGTGACAGATGACGGTTTTTTTCACACAGCCATATGAAATGCTAAAGCCTAAAACACAGATTGTATGCAGGCATGTGGTGAAACTAGTGTATTTTTGTGTGTCATTTTGAGTTCGGCCTCATAAGCAACATCTGCTCCTTATCTGATGGATGGATGGTGATTGCACCACCTGTTTTGTCTTCAGGGGGGGAATGGTTTAGATTGACCAAGACGACAGCATGCAGGTAGCGCGACTTTATCAGTATGCATCAGAAGCAGGAAGTTATGCTGAAAGAGGCTCATTATTGGGCTCAGCAATACTGGGATGTAATTAGTGGTGTTGATAGTTTACAAAGTTTCTCTTTTTTTCGGGCTTCCTTTTCCTTTTTTTCAGGCACTTATTCCTTCCTGTCATCTCGCAGTTGGAGAGCGAGTCAACTTTAATGAAATTCACCTTTGGCCATCGCTGGCAGCGCTACGGAGCCGAGTCCTCGCAGCGTGTTTAGTTAGCTGCGCAGCCGCTCGGGTTTCTCGGTCGGCCCCTCGCTGAGGGCGACCTGCGAAGCGCTCTTCACCCATGATGCTTCACATGTTGAATGCAATCTTTCTGGTCAAGGAAAAATGTGTCGTGCAATGTGTCTAGTTAGGAATATGAATAGCTTGTGTGCATTGTGGTGGCGTTGTGTGGGTTGTCTTGTTTACACACGTGCTGCTGCTCGTCAGTGTGTGATTGCACAAAACCTCTGTGAGAAAATGCGGGTTGATGACAGGACACCATTGAGTTGGCCACCACATGAAGAGGAAAGGGTACAAAAAACAGTTTGGAATTCACAGTGAACCTGATGTCGAATACCGCAGCACTCGCCGCAAGACAATTGCCTCCAGAGCGGCTTTGTTACATTGACACTGGTTGGACGTTTTTCTTCTCTTTCTCCTCCTAACATTGCTCACATCAATTTTTGGTGCGCTTAACCTTCCTTCGGCTTGTCACTGCTTCATTGTTAGTCGTCAGCCACTGAAGTGCGCAGGCTCTCGGCTTTAAAGACTGTTCATTATTCCATCAACTCTACTGATAAGTTGAAGAATAAAATAAGCGCATGTGTGTGTGACCCTGTTGTTTGTTCATCAGTGACAATGATGTCTAAGGCACTGGAACCATTGTGGTCCGAAAGTAAGACTCTTGTTTCCCTCGAGGATGGAGCACCGTTGTAAGTATACTGTAAATGTTCTCTTTTGAGAGCCACCGGCAAGAAGCGAAGACTGTCCAAATAATTGCTGGCAACAACTGAGTGGTTATTTTCAAACTGAAGCAACGACGTTCGGGAATAGGTTTATGTTAAGGTTAATGCATGGAATAGACCAATTATCAGCCAAGCCGATTATCGGTGCCAATATGTGACATTCTGACAGATATCTGCGTCTGCCTTTTTTAAAGATCTGACAGCCGATAAGAGATCAATTTAAAACTATGTTTACTTCAGGTAATCATTTATTTAAATATTCAATTAAATGAATAATAGATGTTGCTGATTCTGGGATCTCTTGGCACCTTTTGTTTGAAATCAAATCAAAGACAAGTGAAAGATTAACAGTTCGGTTACTTCGGAATTGCGGAAAAATTTATTTACTGTGGAAAACTAGAGGGAGCTATTGATTTGTTTTTGTTTCATTTTTGAAGACATGCCAATGACCCCTAAACTTTTTGTTAGAATTTGAAAACCAAGATGTCCAAGAGGAAATAAATAAATACATATGTAATACAAACGTGACATTTTGCAAATCTGGAAAGGTGTTGGAAAGGCATGAACAGAATAGTGTTAGGGTTTTTTTTTTGTTTTGTTTTTGGTTTTTTTTGGTGGGGGGGTGTAATTCCACCTCTTTAATTTCCAAAAATCGGGAGCATCCCTCAGAAAAACATATCAGTCTATTTCTAGTTAATCCATCCTTGACTGCAGTGACGACTCCATTGGGGCAAGCAAGACAGTTTGTCATTCAGATCTTCCAGATGGGTCTATTTTCCTTGTTAGCAAATATGTTTTATTTGTTTTAATGGACTGAGGTTTTTAGACAAAGCTGCGTGCTCCTCAAATTCTCCCTCGCAACAAATCACTGTCACAAGGAATAATAATCTGTGAAATATGAACACGATTGCATCTGCTAGAAGCGACACAACTAAAACATGATTTAGGTTGTGAAGTTTACACTGAATCCCCTTTGAGTTTGCTGTGTCTGCAATTTATGAAGTTGAAAATCCGGAGTAAAAAAAAAAATCAGAAATGACTCCAGTTGTCCTGATATTTAGCTTTATGATTTGCTTGATTGCAAGTTTGTTTGTTTTTTTTAAGAAAAAAAATGCCTCTTTCTGATTGATGAAAATGTTGAACTGGGCACATTGATGTTCCAGTACATCACTGAACAGAGTCTCGAGGATGTGCACAAGCTCTTAACAGTCATGGCACAAAATAAAGGCCAAGTGGATTTGCATTGCGCTGATGGCCCTGCGTAGTCCGTAAACCAACTACAGCAGGAGGGGAGTTGCCATATACTTGGACTTTCATGTGATCATCGATAATCAATAACTCTCTGGTCTCTTGTTAAACTGATAAAGGCCTGAAGTAATACGATCCCACCGTGCCGTATATGAGCCAATAGTGCCGCTGAATATGAGATGGTGGCTGGGGTAGAACAGTGAGGTGTGAATGGAAAGCTGGCAATTAGTTTTTTCGACTTTGGGTATTGCTTCACCTCCAGCCTGCTTGGGTATGCCGTTATTATCTATAGCAGCAACATTGTCCTTTGGAAGCTTCGGTTCAGAGCTGATTAGTGGTCGCTCCAATTTGTTTGCATCGGGCGGATGCCATGTTACAAATGTGTTGTTGTATTCCTACTTCCAGTCTCCTCTTGGATTGCTTCTGCTTCGTCAAGCACTTGTGCTTCAGTTACGGCAGCATCAGCTTCCCTATGTAATGTTAAATCGCTTCATTTTCGCATCTATTTTGACCTTTTCCAACTCACTTTGTGCTTTTTTTGTTCCACCTTAGACTGTGCTTCTTGGGTAGCATATGAGACTCTCACTTTAGCAGCTTCTGCTTTCGCTTGAGCAGCGCTTACCGCTTATGCAGATGAATGTCAGGTCCTGGAATTGCAAACAGAATTGTTACTGGATGACATTTTGACCGGCGATGACTCGTCGAATGATGCCTTTTCACTGTCGTGGTTTCAACTGAGATGTTGGTGACACCGATATAGACCACAAATGAAGCCCCTGGAGTTCAGTTTCAATGTGTTTAATTGTATTAACAAGAATGGAGTGAAAACTGTCATTACAAAGCTAAAGTCGCTCTTTGCACACACTGTAGAGCACATGCACAAGTACATTGAGTTCTATTTATAACAATTCAATTAAAATTAATGTCTACACGCATGTGTATATAATATAATAAAATAGAACTTTAATCTAAAGTGGATGATTAGATCATCTTTCCAGACTGCTCCGTGAGTCCGGCAATTTTCTTTGCTTTGAGAAAACGAACAACCCAGAAGTACGGCGGCAAAAAACGGCAATTACGTCGTCGCAATCCGTAGGTACGTCTAGCGGCAATACTTTTCCTTAAACTTCAATAAATCCTTGGTTATCCGTTCAAAACGACTAGTAGTCACTTTTAACAACACAATATTTTTAACAGTATTACAACCATGAACATATTTACATAGAAAAAGCGTGAGGGGCAACATATGAACGCTGAGCTAAAACAAGTTTGACACCCCTGGTCTATATTGTTTTTAAATATGTAAATGTTTGGTATTTCATGCACTTAATTATGTGATTAGATTTCCTCTCTCCACATCCCAAGAATTTCTCTGTCATCTGTCTCCGGCATCATCTTTTTCCTATCCTCCCCTAGCCCACATTGTTATTTCAAGAAGAGCTGGAGTAAATAAATGAGCTCTTGCACTTTTCATCTGGACACAATGTGCAGTTGACAAGTTCTTTGCTCGCTCTCAGAGAGTTTGCCAAAAATAACTAGCTTTAGAATCCACTATCAGTCTTGCCAGCACCTCACACCCACAAGGAGGCTGCCAAAAAATCAGTTCATCAGGAGTAACGAGGGGTTGATTTTCTTGCTCAAGGACTCTTTGACACTTTTTGGGATGGCTACAGACGTATACACACATACTTAGACGAAAGCACTGACACAAGCTCAAGTGTCCTGTGTTTAATTTAACAAGCCCTCCAAACGGATAATCAAGGCAGAGTGAGATGATAAAATGTAAATTCATTTGGGAGGTTGTACAGAATGGATAGCCATGTCTCAACAATGGGGGTTAGAAAGGCAAGGCAACCTAGAATTGAAACCGCAGTTCATTAAATCCTCGTTTCTATTTAAGAACTTGTTTAGTTTTGTAATCTTTTTACCCTGATTATGTTACTGTTTGTAATTATTTCAAATGTTATTCTGCAGGGGAGGAAATGTATTGAAATGCGTAACCATTTTCTGTGGTATGGCAAAGTTGCTTTTACCCAAAATTAAATGTAGTCATCCATCCGTCTGTTTTCTAATCGGCTTATCCTTACATGGGTCGCATACTAGCTGGAGCCTATCCCAGCCGTCTTCGGGCATTCGGTGGGGTACACCCTGAGTTGGTTGCGAGCCAATCGCAAGGCACACATAGATAAACAACCATGCGCGCTCACAATCACATTTAGGGACAATTTGTGGTGCCCAAACAACCTGCCATGCATGTTTTTTGGAATGTGGGAGTTAACCGGAGTACCCGGAGAAAACCCGCGCAGGCCTGCAAATCCCGCACAGTTCATAGCTGGAATTGAACCCTGCACCTTTGCACTGTGAGGCCGATGTGCGAATAAGTAGACCACCGCTCATGTATAGTAATTTTTATCCAACTGGCCGGTGTAAACAAAAGAAGATGACAGAAACGGATATGTGGTCAGTAGGGTGAGTACACCACTATCTGTATCTTCCTGTTCACCCATCTAAATTATCTGTACAGTATATGTATCTGGACTCGGAGTGGGCAGGACATCAACTGGAAGTGGGTGGGGATTACGAGAAATGATTTGGGCTGAAATTGCCTATGTTGCCATTTGCATCCGTTACCAAGCAAGATTACCAACTAACTTTAAATATCAAACGAACCGAAATAGAGGTGAGCTGCGGAAAACTGAGTACTGCTGTGAGCAGTGTGAGCTGGAGTCAGGTCAAGCAAGTCCAGAGTGATTGTCAATCACTGTCTGGTGTGGAAGAGTAATGCCGACATCAGACTACCCAAATGTATGGCAGATGTGTCACAAACGTAGTTTCTCGTAGCCAATTTTGAGTTGTCTTGATGCATTGTTGCCCTTGTAGTGTGACATACTCAACTATTGGTTGTCTCGCTTCTGGGACGTTTCACGACCACGACGACAAAAGCCTGACATGTAAGAATTTGTGTTCGTCATGCTGCATGGTTTGACATGTCCTACATTGTCCTCCGTTTGGTTCTTCTACAGTGACCAATGAGAAGATAGTGCCCTCCTACTTGTGACGAGAGACTGGGCGCGGCGCATACAATCACAATGTGGTGTGCAGTCTTTAAAAAGTGACTTGAACAAAAGGAGAAATATTGGAAAGTGTACGTAGCATTTCAAATCATACTACGTTTGCTAACCGCAGAGTTTGTAACTGATTCGCAAAATGTGGTGTCATTTTTGGATAATAGATAGTCCATACTGCCCTCTCCCCACTATCCACGAACTGGTCCATTTTTTTCCTTTGGTTTTTTTTTCTTTTTTTTTCTTTTTTCTTTTTGCCTATTGGGAGCATAGAAACAACGCATATGCACATAAGGCCTCCATCGACATGACTTTGAAAGCTGCTTGTCCCGCCTCTCCGACAGATATGCGCTGGTCGACTGAATATTCATGCAAGCACGCTACGAGTGGGCGGGGTCTGGTTGGTGATGGACTTGTAGTATGACATCTCGCCCGGTCCAAGACACACAACGATACTTCTCCGATAGTCTCTCAGCGCGATAGGTCATGAACGACAAATCGTGTAGCTTGAGAAGGCCATAAGGCACGGACGGCTCTTCTTGCTCCAGCAAGTCTGTCGAAGGAGGAGTTGTCACTGTGTGTAACTGGCCAATCACAGAGCATGAAGAGTGAATACCAAAGTAGTAAACCATTGAGGAATTTCCTTCAGCACAAATACGAACATTGATGAGCTGTACTTGTTTCATGCGCGTACAGGGCAATAAAGCCTCCTCCGAAATGGATACTCGTCTAAAATTAGTACCCGGCTCAGCCCTTATATTTTTTTTCTTGTTTTTTTTATCACAGAGCATGAAGAGTGAATACCAAAGTAGTAACCCATTGAGGAATTTCCTTCAGTACAAATACGGACATTGATGAGCTGTACTTGTTTCATGCGCGTACACGGCAATAAAGCCTCATCCGAAATGGATACTCGTCTAAAATAAGTACCCGGCTCAGCCCTTATATTTTTTCTTGTTTATTCAACTACCGTAATTTCCGGACCATAAGCCGTACGTAAGTGTACAAGTAGTTCAAGGAAGAAAAACAGTGGAACAAGAAAAAATTACAATGGTGAAAAATGTGCAACATGTTGGTGAAAATTTTTGGATTGTTCCTATGTGGGAATTGTTGCAATGTTGAAAATCGTTCCCAAAATGAATTTAATGAGCTAAACATTTTGAATATAGAATTAAAATGACATTTTTAATGTCTCAATGGAAATGAATGGAAATTCCGGGGTGAAAAACAGACTTTTGTAAAATGTTGGAAAAAAATTTGCGGGTAAAATGACATTTTTAATGTCTCAATGGAAATGAATGGAAATTCCGGAGTGAAAAACAGACTTTTGTAAAATGTCGAAAAAAAAATTTGCGGGAGAAATATATCAGATTAAATGGCATGGGTGTCAAAGAGAAGCGAATAATTTTGAATATCCCAAAGATGGGAATCTTGCTGGTGAAAATATGCAATATGTTTGAATTTTGAATTTTTGCTACTTGGGAATTGTGGGAATGTTAAAAACTGATCCCAACGTGAATTGAATTAACTGAACATTTTAGCGAATAATTTTGAATATCCCAAAGATGGGAATCTCGCTGGTGAAAATATGCAATGTTTGAATTTTGAATTTTTGCTACTTGGTAATTGTGGGAATATTAAAAACTGATCCCAAGGTGAATTGAATGAACTGAGCATTTGGCATTTCGAATGGGAACGAATTTTTGAACGTGTCATTGAAAATGGAGAATTCTTGGGGGCAAACTGTGGACTTGTGGGAAAACTATGAATGTTTGGAATGAGAAAAGTAATAGCCCTCAAGGCGTACATTTTTCAAGTATGTTACAGTTGGAATAGTTCGAATCAGTCGAGAAATGTAGAAGTAGTAGTTGAAAGAAGAAAAACATGTTTGCTTCGAACATTCACACAAATAATGCTGGGTTGGACTGCAGCACGCCCGCAGCACTCGTGAGGAAGACAGATCCAGAGGACTGATGGATGGATGCATGATCGATAGACATTATGCTCATATTTTTTTTCACCTTACCCATCAGCTGGCTCTCCTTACATATTGTGAAAAGCTGTGCTCACCTCTTTGATGTTAGTCCCTTACATCGTTTTGCATTCCTGTCTTTCAGGGCTATCTTTTATCCGTCTTGAAACTCCGATGAACAACATCACCACCTCTCTGGGCCAAACAGCTGAACTGTTCTGTCGCGTGTCGGGCAACCCACCACCGACAGTACGCTGGCTAAAGAATGACGCGCCTGTGGTACAGGAGCCACGACGAAACTGGTTAGAGTTCGTGCCTGTGGCAGCTGAGCAGTCCAAAACAGCCTGCCACACTAAAAAGGGAATCACTTTCCTACATCACATTGAAAACATTTTATGAGCTGTGTTTAACCATCTTGGTATAATTTAACTTTCTTTCTGATTTCGCTTTTCCTGGAGGGGATCTGGCTCCACTTAACAACACTCGACCTATTCTTGCATGTAGCTGGCAGCTAACACAGAAACAAATGTGGTTATGATAATATTTACCCTGGGGTCAAATATCCCTTTGTCCTCTTTTCCAGATCCGCTGCCTACGCCTCTAGCGGGACGGCCGACGTAAGTAGCTGAATCTGCATGTCCGTCAAAAAAAAAAAAGGGCCTCTAAAAACACCCTGCAGTGGAGATGAGTAATCATTCACATCATACCATGGCCGAGCCTGCGATTTATCTATTTATTTGTTTATTTATTTATATTGGTGCCACTTTCACTGTAGCCAAATGAAGAGCCAATGACAGTGAAGCGCCCTCTGGTTTGAGCACAATGAAAGAGACTTTTCAATAACCATCAATTTTAATGCATCATAAGACCTAAAATGCTGTAATTGGGAATTTCTCCATTGTGAGACAAATAAAGGCTTTCTTATCTTAATTTTCTGACATGGCCCAATAGAGCGATCTATGTATTATGGCAACACAAGCAAGGAAAAAAAAACACCTGAGTCTTGTTTGTTTCTATTAGAATTGCACAAGAGAAGCTGAAATCTTATTAGAAGGATAGTTGTACTTTATTAAGATGTCTTGAAGCCTCCCAACCTTCACATATTTGTCCTAAACTGGCATGTGTGTTGTTATTAGTGAATGAGTCGAATTGGGCAATAAATGCCTTTGACCGCAGCTGAGGTGAGGTGGCAGTCAGCCGATCGTCACTGCAGCTCATTATGAGTGTCATGGGCAACTTAGGAGATGTAAAATCGGCTTGCAGCTGTCAAGAAGACAGGGTCACCTAATGATGGCATGCACTCTACCTCAAACCACAGTTGCTAGACCATCACAAATTCTGCCTTTTTTTTTTCTTGAAACATCTGGTGCACCACCTTGTGTTCATTGAAACATGTTTGCTGCAACGTTAGCTATCTTTCCCAATTTTTTTGCTTGAAAAAAAAAAATTTTACCCTCAATTTGAATGAAATGGTTTTTTTTTCCTTTGGTTTGTGGGGTCATTTTCATTTTTGTCCACGTTGGCCTTGAGTACACATGTGGCGTGTGGGCTCTTAATAGTTTGTGTGAGTGTGTGTGTGTTTGTTGGGGGGGGCTTTTAGCCGCAGGAGTAAAGCTGACGAACCAGAGGTCTAAACTTCAATTCAAACATTCTAAAGAGTGTTAAACTCAAGCTACGGCCACACATCTCATTTTTAGCCAATCTGGCAATAAAAGGCGTGTGGCTGTTTTTATGGAGGCGTTGTTTTTATTTGCCAAGAATTGTCATTTTTCAGCGTCCCTTTGTTGGGGTCTCAGTGGTTAGCATGACATGGTAAGAATTTGTAACGATGACTTTCCACATTGTCCTGTCCAGGTGGTCAATTTATCCACTTTAAAATCTTTTACATTACATTCAAGCTGCGTTCGGGCTGCAGGCTCATCTGATTCAAATTCAGATTCTTGTTCAGATTGGATTTGGCCCCGTTTAGACCAGGACACATTATTGACCCATCTGACAGGTTGACTGACTGTCGCAAAAACATCGGAACGGAGGCATGTTTGAAGTCATCGAATTGCAACAGCGGAAACACACAAAACACTTTCATCAGACTTCTTTCTCTACATGCCCTCGAGCTTTGCTTGTATGCCACCATCTCCCGACAGACCGATAAGGCAATGCATTTCCTCCTCAGTCCAGGGCCTGCTGTCTTCAATTTCTTCGATGTGTTGCATTTTCTTTCCTGCTTCGTGCTTTGATTGGTGCTCTCCACTTTGGCGCATTGGGTGACGTCACAGACCGTTAAAACCGTTAGGTTTGTTTGTAGCTGGTCAGACTGACACTCATCCTGCCCAAACCCGATATGAATCTACCGCCTGTATATGGCTTCATTTCGCAAAAATCGAATTTCATGTGCTTTGTGACTGTTCAGACTACAAAAGATCTATCCAGTTTCAGTCTGGATGGGTTAAAAATCGGATTTTGGCTGCCAGTCTGAGCAAGGCCTAAATCCGGGAAACGCTCAACTTACTTCCACGCTCCTTTAAATGTGCAAAAGTGCTCCTCCTCACCCAGGTGGATAGTGGAAGGGACCTTGACAGAGTCCCCGTGGGTACTTAAAATTTCCATGTCTTTTTTTAAACACAAGATGTTACCGCAGAGCCACCAAAGATGACAACAGTCAATGTTGGAACTTCGGTCGTGTTTACATGTATCATATCCTATTTATATAAATGAATTCTAATGTATTTGACATTTGTCCAAAGACACGCGTGTTTACATGTATCATATCCTATTTATATAAATGTATTTGACATTTGTCCAAAGACACCAGCCAACATGATTTCCCAGGTTTGGTCACGTAACGTTCCACATACAGTGGATTGAAATTAAGAAGTAGCCTAAAATTTCCCATTCATAACGTATAACACTGGCCGCAATTGTATTTGTGTTCTATTCAAGGTGTTAGTAACGGTCCTAGATTTTAAACATGTAGTGATGTCAACATGGGCAAAAAAAATATTGGTCTCTCATGGGTCTTGAGCAAGGGGCAGGCACTGTATAGAAAATCTGTTAGCCTCCTTGAAACATCACAAATTAACACATGATGTTTTGTTTCTACAGTACATACCTACATAAAGAGCGGAGTGTAAAATGTGGTGTTTGCGGAATGGTGCGGCGGCTCCTATCTTGGCTCTCCCCAGCAAAGACTTGGAGTCTCCACTAATTTTCTGGCGAGTAAAGATTGGCCAGGAGGCTTGACCATTGGCCAAGGCCAAGACACAAAGAATGGTAATGATGTTCTCATTTAACTCTTGCTCTGGAAGCCAAGAAGTCATAACCATTCCTTGAAGTCACGCCTCACATCCTCGTTTTTATTACCGTACTTTTGCCCAACCAAAGTTAAAATCGACTTCAGTTCTCTTGCACTCCAATGTTCATGAATATGTCAACAGTTGTCTTTCATCAAGAGACAGATGAAAATGTTTCCAATGTTCATGAATATGTCAACAGTTATCTTTCACCAAGAGACGGACGAAAATGTTTCCGCAACAACCTTCATCTGTTCTCTTTACTTCACCTTTATCCTCCATCTCTCTCTAGTCTCTTTGCATTGGTCATGTTTTTACAGAGCCTGAACAAATACAGGTTGAGCCAAAGAAAGAACACCCCCACCAATGCCCCCACTCTCTCTCTCTCTCTCTCTCTCTCTCTCTCTCTCTCACACCCTCCCTCGCTCTCTCTTCCCTGCCACACTTTGCTCTTTGGCAGGGAAAAAAAGAGCAGTGATGGAAACGTCGGGAGGGTGAAAGAAAAACAGTGTTAGTGGAGTGGGAGGACGATGGTACCATTAACACTCAGGCCGCGTGTTGGTCTTTGATTCCCGACTACGCTCAGGCATGATGACTAGTGTTTAGCTGAAAAAGAAGGTTTATCTGTAAGCTCACATCAGAGTCAGCTAATAACTCAGGGCTGCGATTTAAACTGCGTGAACTCTGCTTGTAACATCTCATCGACACTAAAGATGCTCAACTGTTGGGGCGGCACCGCAAAACCACAGCATTGTAATTGTGTACAGCAGGGGTCCCCAACCTTTTTTGCCGGCCTTTAAGGTGTGACTGATAAACACAACAAAATAATTTGATATGACCTGCATGAAAATTGTGGTATTTTCTAAACATAATAATAAATCCGAATCATGACACGAGGA